ATCAGATTTTGTGACGATGATCTCCAGCAACTTGGGCAAGTCAGTGCTGAATTGGTATCGCGCGTTTATCGCAGAGTGTGAGGGTACGAATGTACGGCCCACATGGTCGCTCTTCAAGGGAAGACTTCGCACTCGTTTCAGACCGAAGGATTTCGAATACGATCTTCACAAGAGGGTGTTTCATCTCAGGCAGAATGCGACCATCCATGAATACGTCTCCAAATTTCAAGACTTGCTGTCGCAGACTGAGTTGTCTATCAGCGAATTGGAGAAGCGTTTCATTTTTCAGAACGGTTAAGAGAAGAGACAGCAAGGAAGATCAAGGAAGAGAGTTTTTCGACACTGCAAGATGCCATTGAGATTGCGTCAAATTTTGAGTTTGCGCACTACTCGGGAAAACCCCCAAGTGCTCCTGCGAGGGGTTCGCAAAGAACGTCAAGCTCGAGGCATCGTGCGCCTAAGTCGAAGCAGCATAATACAAAGCGCTCCGATAATAAGAAAGCCAAGAGCGATGATTGGAAGAAGACAGCTAAGTGCAGAAATTGTGGCAAAGTTGGTCACATTTCTCCCGATTGTACTCAGCCAAAACGTACTGAAGCGAATCGGTACTTGCAGGGCGCAGTGTATGCGATCCTGGAGGCTGAAGCTCGAGCATTCAAGACAGAAGACCAAGAGAGGCCCGTCACGATATTCATTGACAACGGCAGTAGCCTGAATGGCGTAACTGAGGAGTTGGTGAAGAAGCTCTGGATGTCACTGAAGGTGATATGATGCAAGTTGATCTCAGTTATGATCAAATTGTGCATCGTCCACGTCGTACTGTAGAGATGTCTCTGCCGTTACCAGGGTTTCCTTTGACAACGGGAACATTCGAAGTCATGCCTGTTCCTGAAGGAAAGGACATCGTTTTAGGCATGATGTGGCTGCGGGAGCAAAACCCTGACATCGGCTTGAGTACTGGACAGATAGCGCCTCGCATCAACGCAGAGAACACGCAGACTGTAAAGTTGAGACTGCCGAAGACACGTCCAGTCCGTTGGGTGGCAGGGCAACGCCGCGCAAGAGTTGCGCAAAGCCGCGAGATTTTCAATTACTATCGGCAGCATGGCCACCACGGCCAGTTTGGATGAACGAAGATTATTTCGTCCAAGCAGTTCCAGCAGATGTTGCATAGGGACAAGGACATTAAAGCAGTGTTTGTCATCAATCCGCAAGATTCGGAGAAGGCTGAACGCTTCAAGAGCCAAGGATGGGATGCTCTCAAGGATAATCCGGCGTATGAGACGCTACTGAAATATGCGAATACGGTTTTCCGTACGGAACTTCCGAATAAGACACCGCCAGTACGGGAAGGAATTGAGCATGAGATTTTGCTCAAACCCGGTGCTAAACCGATTTCGGTCAAACAATGGCGCCAACGTCCTGGTCAGAGGAAAACGATACAGGAATGAACCAAAGAGATGGTTCAGGCTGGCATCATTCGACCGAGTACTTCAGTATTTTTTGCACCGACTTTCTGTGTAAAGAAACCAGTCGGATGGCGTGTTGTGCACGTTTACCGTCTGTTGAATTTGGCGACGATTTTACCAGCTATTCCCATGCCTCGCAAGGAAGATATTTTTGATGCGATGTCCGGAAGTTATTGGTATTCGTGCATGGATTTACTCTGGGGTTATTGTCAAGTCAAGTTACGAGAAGCAGATATACCATTTACTGCTTTCTCGACCCCAGATGGTCGTTTTGAATATCTCGTCACACCCATGGGACAGAGTGGAAGTCCGGGAACCTTTAACCGTTTGTTGTAGAAGGTTTCCCGGGATTTGAGTGACGTGGCGCGGATTTACTTCGATGATATCTACGTATCCACGAAGGGTGAAGATGTGAACGACCACATTACCGCGCTGAACAGAGTATTGAAACGATGTGAAGAACAGAAACTTTACATCAAACTGTCCACATGCCAATTTTGCGTGGATGAGATTCCACGTTTAGGCGACTTTGTCGGACGCAAGGGCGTTCGAATGGACCCAGAGAAGGTGAAGATTATTGCCGAGTGGCCAGTCCCGAAGACGAAGAAGCAAGTGGAAAGCTTTCTAGGGACAATTGTATACGTTTCGAGATTCTGCAAGGATTTAGCGCAGTTCGCAGGTCCTTTGCATGAATGTATCAAGGCAAAACGTTCTCGAGAGGCTATCAAACTGGATGAGAACCAATTTCGCTGTTTTGTCGAGCTGAAAAATCACTTGTCATCACCTCCGGTTCTCAGTCTTCCTGATTTCTCCAAACCTTTCGGTATTCGAATGGACGTCTCAAATTTCGCAATTGGGGGAGTCTTACTCCAAAAGGAGGGAGAGCTGGAACATCCAATAGCCTTTACGGGCAGAAAGATGAAACCAGCAGAGCTGAATTACCCAGTTCGCGAACAGGAACTACTCGCTATTTTGCATGCGTTAAAGACATGGCGCGTGTATCTTCTCGACAAGCCATTCCTGGTGGAAACAGATCACAAGAGCATTGAGATGATCCTTACGCAGAAGACGACGAATCGACGCATTGCGCGGTGGTACAACGAACTCGCTGAGTTTCAGCCTCTGTTGAAGTGGATTCCAGGAGTGACGGATGTAGTTGCAGATGCGATGTCGAGAAATCCTGAGTTCGAGCACAAGACTGCACAAGTGAGCCTGAAGGAACTTCTTGATTCTGCTCAAAACCGTGAAATTGTGGCAACCGTGGTCGAGAACAATATGACCGTGGCTCAGTCCGGAGAGAAGATGTACTCGTGGAACAAGGACTTGCAGGGAATTGTCAAGAAGCTGAAGCTAGGAGACAAGATTCCGCATTACTCGCTATATCATGGCGTGTTGTGCTATCAGACGCGTGAAGACGAGAGTCCTAGACTGTACATTCCTGAAGACGAAGATCTGAAGAATCGAGTCATGTGTGAGAACCACGATGCAGTCACGGCAGGCCACCCAGGGTATTACAAAACCTACGTCGCGGTACGTGAGAAGTACTATTGGCCGAAGATGATGAAGTATATCCAGCGCTATGTGAACACTTGTGAAATGTGTCAGCGCAACAAGGCGAGGCAGACAAAGCCTCCAGGATTACTTCAACCGCTGGAAATACCACGAGGTAGATGGGTCGACATTTCGATGGATTTCATTGGGTCCCAACAAGGATGACTGTAATGCCATCACGGTCATCGTGGATCGATTGACCAAGCGTGCAAAGTTCATTGCAACGCAGACGACAGACAGCGCAGAGGATATTGCGAATGTTTTCATGAAGGGTTATGTAAAAGATCATGGCCTTCCGAAGACTATTGTGTCTGATCGTGACTCCAAATTTACGTCCAAGTTTTGGCAGGCTGTT